ACAGACATTGCGATCGAGAGAAACAGAAATGCTTCTCAAGGTATCCAAGAGTCACTCAGGACTGTCACCTGTATTGGCCTCACTAGACTGCTCTTTGGAGACCCGGCAGGTCTGGCCTCTGTCTGTAACTCCCACAGCCAGCACAAGGCCTGGTAATGGGCAGGCACCAGGGAACATGTTGTTTGAGTGAGTGAGTGAGTGAGTGAGTGAGTGGAGCAAGGAAGGAATAATTAAGAGAAACATGGGCACACAGAGGCAGCGAGTGAGTGAGAGGGATGGGAAAGGATGGGGACAGATGGAGACTGCATGATGCAGAAGGGAGACGGAGACCATGAACAAATAGACGAATGAATGAAATGAAGATGAGGGAGGGTATTGGAAACCCAGAGAGAGCCAAGTGCAAGTTAAATATTCAGGGGCGGGGGGGGGGGGAAGCCTTGCCTTAGCTTGTCTTATTAGTCAGAAACAGTGAGCTCCTGCCTTAGTTTCCCTTCTAGTCCTGCAGACCTTGTGGGGCAGCATCCTAAAGACCTGGCAGGCTGCCTGGCATTGCCAGCTCTCTCCCCAGGCAGAGACTTGGGGACACTGTTGCCTCCAGCCCTCCAATGCTTACTGGTTGAGGTCAATCTCCAAATCTTTGACATGTGATGCCCTCCTACCTGCACACCCCAGCCAACAGCCACACAAATCCCTCCCTCTAGTAAGATTTCCGGGATGAGGTTATTTCCCTTCCAGGCAATAACAACCTGACCTGCCCCTGCCTCGACTAACTCCTGGGTTTGGGGTGGGAGTGGAGACAGCGAGTTACTACAGAGCCAAAGGGAGAAAGTCAAAGGGGGAGAAACCTGGAGGTGGGACCAGAGGACTTCCTGCCTCCATGGAGTCTCGCCCCAATGCCCACAATGTCATTTGGGAGAAACCTGGAGGAGGGGTCCAGGTGAGCTGGAAGGAAAAACCTAGGGAAGTGGCCAGAGTCACAGAATTCTCTGGGTTCTAGAGAAGGGGGGGTCCCTCTCCCCCAATCTGCCCCTTGAAAAGGCTCTGATCACAGTCCTCTCTGGTGTTCCAGCCCTGAAGAAAGACACTTCCAAAGGGCCTTAGTCCCCTCTTGCAGTGTGTGTGTGTGTGGCGGGGCTCAATGGCTGCCTCGGCTCTGGGGACCAAAGTCCCCCCTGCCTTCCCCACCATTGCGCCAGATGTGGCTGCGGGGGGAGGGGTAGGCACAGGGCCCAGCTGGCAGTGGTCACTCGGTGGTCCTCTGTCTGCATAGTCAGCGCTTTCTGTGCCAGCCCGCCCAGCCTCCTCACTCAGCACTTCCTCCAGCCCACTTTCCAGAGGCAGCAGCTGGACCCGCACAGTCTGCTGGTCTGGGGCTTCCAGGCCAGAGTCAGCACAAAACCTACCAGTGACCCTTCCTGAGCTGTTCCCTCTCCAAGGTGCCCAGGATTGCCTCAGCAGTCAGTGGTCATGGGGAAGAGGGGGAGACCCAGCTTGGCCCAGTCTGGGAGACAGAGAGCAGAAGGTGTCCAAAGGTGAGAACTGCCCTCATCCCTTTCCCTCAACCACAGAAAATCCTTGCCCATAGTCAGCCTTCTGGTCCTTTCCTCTACAAAGCAGCGAGGTACCCCATAGATCCTGTCCTCTGCTCCCCAAACCCTCTGCTAGCTTCCTCTATCTTTGTGGATTTTACAAAACCTGGAGTTTTGTATCAGGGTCATAGGGCACAGTCTGCTCCATGGAAGGCTAACAACACAGAGCTAAGCGCACAGTAGGTAATTTTAAAAGACTTGCATTATCAGCAAGCCCTTTCAGTCTTGTATCCAAGGATTCTTTGAGACTGGTTCCTAGTGCCAGGAACTGGCAACAAGCCTCAACCACATGCCTATGTCTTAAAAACATGGATGTGAGTCCCTCTGCCTGGAGGGACAGAGCTGGGAAAGGAACTGCCTTCCCCCAAGACAGAACAGCCTAGGGAGCCTCAGCTCTCATTCGACCTATGCTCTTTTATCCTCCACAGCCTGGCCAGGTTTCTTTAGGCCCCCAATCTGTGGGTTTCAACCTAGGGCCACTTCCAGCAAGGGAGATGAGGCCCTGCCCTGCATGTGGAGAGGTAGAGGCAGGCTCCCAGAGTTGCTGGCCTGGCTGGGCCCTGTTAACCACAGATGGAGGCCTAGATTAGAAGGAAATGAGACTCTGGGAGAGGGAAGAGAGAAGAGGGCCAGCCCTATCCTGCACACAGAAGGATGAAGACAGACAAAAACAGGAAAGGGATAGAGAAAGCAGGGTGGGGGGCCACCCTCCAGAGATAAACTCCTCCCTTCTCTCCTGAGTCAAAAGGAAAAGAACAGTGGCCACATGTCTGGCACTGTACTTTTCATAATCCCCTCATTTCATCCTCCCAAATTGGCCACAAGAAAGGAATTATTTCCCCCAAGTCAGAGGCAGGTTCTGAACTTCCAAGAGGACAACCTCCCTGGGGAGTGGCATGGCTCAAGTTATCCTGTGGACCCCCCAGGGCTCTGGCCTTGGCAGGGACAGCTGGCAAGGCCTGCAGTCCTGGCCTGTGGAGCCTGTACAGAGGCCCAAGATCTGTTCAGAGCAGAGTTTATTCAAACAGAGCCTAACAGGAAACTTGGCTCTCCTGACTCACTCTGATTCGACCTTATTAAGAAAAAAGAAACAGGAGCCAGAGCCAGCTCCGGGTAGGGTTTCACGCCAAGAGCTGGCTCTGAGCAGAGCAGAGCGGCTGAGTGCAGTGCGATGCTTGTGCCCTGATCTCCCCACCCCAAAGCCTTGAGGCAGCCCCTACCCGGGTCTGGTTCCTGGAGAACCTCTCCACTTTTCCACCAATGGTTTCACAACCATCCTTTGTCCTTCCCTCCATTCCTCTCACCTCCCCTCCATGCCTGGGGGCACCTTGACGCCTGTTTCCACTTCTCCTCCTCCTCCTCCTCCGCTGCCCATCTGGCTGGCAGGAGGGCCCTACAGGACCCCAGGGATTCCAAGTGGCTGAGACCAACACTGCAGGGGGCAAACAGGAGGGAGGAAAGGCTTAACCCTCCCGGTCCTGGGCCTCAGCATCTTGCTTGAAGTCCTAAACCACACTGGCCAGTCCTTGAAGAAATCCTGACTGGAGTTAGATACCAGATTCCATGCTGGGAGCTAAGATGTAGTGCTGAATGACTGCTGGCCAGGAAGGGTGTTAGAAGCACCCCACATCCCGGGCTGGATCATAAGCCTCTAATGTCCTGACTCACTGAATCAAGCCTCAGTCCTGAAGAACACAGCAATGGGGAACAGAGCCTGGCAAGGATGGGGGATAAGGGAAGTCCTCATCCTCAAAAAGTGTCACTCTGGCTGTCTGCTCCCAAGGTGGGCTCCAGGAGTTTCCAAAACAGAGAGAGAAAGGGGGCCAAGTTGAGGACAGGTTCTTCCCACCCTGTTTGTAAGTATTAAGAGGACAATTTCTACCCTCCAGTTAGTTCCCAGGAACAAGGCTGGAGAAGGCAGCCCAGGGGGACACCTGCAGAGTAGCAAAGTATGATTTCTTGGGCACTAAAGAAAGAAGTTCAAACTTCTGGGACCATTCCTATCCCTGCCATCCCCAAAGGGAACACAGAATCTCCCAAAACACTTATAGGGTCCACGTAGACTAATTCTCCAGTGGTCAGATGAAGCAACTAGATCAGAGATGGAAAGGAACTAACTAACATCACCCAGTAACTTGATCACAGCCACAGCTCTCCTGAATTTACTTTTTTTTTTCTTTTGTTTTTTTTTGGTGATACTGGGGCTTTATGCTTGCTAGGCAGGCACTCTTACTACTTGAGCCACTCCATCAGCCCTTTTTTGCGCTGGGTATTTTCGAGATAGGGTCTTGCAAACTATTTGCCCACAACTGGCTTAGAATCCCAATCCTCCTGATCTCTGGCCTCCTGAGTAACCAGGATTACAGGCGTGAGCTGCTGGTACCTGGCAAATCCCCACTTTTTGCTGTTGCATGATTACAGTTTTCTTTGCTTTACAATGAGTCCATCCCACATGAAAGACAGTGCTGGGCTTCGTTTTACCATGTATATGCTCCCTGACATGCAGGGCAGACCATACAGGATATGGGAGAAGTTGGTGTCTCCCATGAGTTCACAAATTCGGTTCATCCCAGGAACACACCTCATCCTCTAGACTGAGAGAGTAAGGCCGGAGGTTGTGGCCAGAGAGAAAAGCCCAGGCTCCAGCGCCTTTGTAACTCAGGCCCAAGAGCTGAAATGCAGAATTAAAGAAAGGTCCACCGACAGTGAGGTATCTCTTAGTACTGGCTTTAGAGACAAGGGGAAAGGGAACCCAGAAGTCCTGGGAAGAGGCAAAGCCAGTTAAGTAATGGGGAGCCCAATGCTGTGTCCAAAGCAGGGAGGAATGGTGGTGACCGGTTCTGCCTGCCAGAGCCTCACTTACCAGGCGTGAGTCCCTAGAGCCCCCCTCCTGCTCTCTGCCTCCTTCCTGTCCTCAGAGGCAGGTCTGTGGTTTGGCTGGGAACTCCAGGGACTGAGAGAGCACCGCAGCTGTGGGACAGGCCACATAGCTAAAACCCGGCGGGCCATAGGGCCCCGCGGAGGAGGCCCCAGCAGGCGGACCAGGCGCTGAAACCTCCCGACAAGAAGCTCGAAGCCTGTTGCTTATTCATTCAGAGTGGGAAAGCGCCAGCCCAGCGGCCAGCCAGTGTGGGGCTGGCCATGTAAGGCCCCCAGGCAGTCCTGGCCGCCCGTGCCCTGCGGAGAGCCTTGTGCAGCCTCGGGCACCGCCCCTGCCCTGCCCTGACCCCTTGGCCTCGAAATGCTGTCATCGGAGGAGCCGTCCCGCTCGGGACAAGGCCAGGATGGACAAAGCTAGAGCTTGGGCAGGCAAGGAGCCGTCCTGTCCTCGAGGCCGTGGGAAGAGAAGCACGCACGGGGGACCACTTCTGAGAGCCTCTCTGTGCGGCAGGCCTCTGCAGAGGGGCCACCATGGCTCTGGGCCGAGCCGGCAGGCAGTTGGGGGCCCTGGTGTGGGGTGCCTGCTTGTGCGTCCTGGTGCATGGGCAGCAGGCGCAGCAGCCGGGGCAGGACTCGGACCCGGGGCGCTGGCGACAGCTGATCCAGTGGGAGAACAACGGGCAGGTGTACAGCCTGCTCAACTCGGGCTCGGAGTACGTGCCAGCCGGGCCTCAGGGCGCGGACAGTAGCTCCCGGGTGCTGCTGGCCGGCGCGCCCCAGACCCCACCACGGCGCAGCCAGGGGGGACTCCGAAGGCGACAGGCGCCGACCCTGCCCCTGCCCGGCCGCGTGGGCTCAGACACTGTGCGTGGCCAAGCGCGACACCCATTTGGCTTTGGCCAGGTGCCCGACAACTGGCGCGAAGTGGCCGTCGGGGACAGCATGGGCATGGCCCGGGCCCGCACCTCCGTCTCCCAGCAACGGCACGGGGGCTCCGCCTCCTCGGTCTCGGCCTCGGCCTCGGCCTTCGCCACCACTTACCGCCAGCCATCCTCCTACCCGCAGCAGTTCCCCTACCCGCAGGCGCCCTTCGTGAGCCAGTACGAGAACTACGATCCCGCATCGCGGACCTACGATCAGGGCTATGTGTACTACCGCAGTGCGGGCGGCGGCCTGGGCGCAGGGGCGGCAGCCGTGGCCTCGGCGGGGGTCATCTACCCCTTCCAGCCCCGAGTGCGCTACGAGGAGTACGGCGAGGAGCAGCCGGAGTACCCGGCGCAGGGCTTCTACCCAGCCCCGGAGAGGCCCTACGCGCCGCAGCCGCAGCCGCAGCCGTCGGACGGCCTGGACCGCCGCTACTCGCACAGTCTGTACAACGAGGGCACCGCCGGCTTGGAGCAGGCCTACCCGGATCAGAGCCCCGACGCGGTGCAGACCCCTAACGGCGGCACCTACGGTGGGGACCCCCGCCTCGGCTGGTACCCGCCCTATGGCAATGTGCCACCGGAGGCCTATGGCCCGCCGCGCGCCGTCGAGCCGCAGCCCCCCTTCCGCATGCTGGAGCCGCCCTACCTGCCCGTGCGCAGCTCCGACGCGCCCCCGCCTGGTGGGGAGCGGAACGGCGCGCAGCAGGGCCGCCTGAGCGTGGGCAGCGTGTACCGACCCAACCAGAATGGTCGCGGTGAGTACCAACCCCGCGCGCCTCCTCTGCCCTGCCAGCCTCAGGGTCATGGTGAACTGCTCCAGGTGTGCAGACCCCTCCTCCATCCCTTACCAAAGGCCTGGCTCCGCTCAGTTGCTGAGAAAGGACCCTACATTCAACAGCCCCGTGGGTGCCTCACCTCCCAGCCCACCCCATATGGACGCATCAGTGCCAGGGTTTGGCCAGGCAATCTAAGCTCTGACCTTGGCTTCGGGAGTGGAGAGTAGAAGGGCCTGGCCCTGAGTTCAAACTCTGGTACTGTCAAAGCAGAAGAATTAAAAAAAAAAAAAAAAGGCCTTAGGGGAGGGCTCTCTGGAGGTGCTGCAGCTTCCCCATCATGGGGCATAAGTGAGCTTGCCCTGGGCGAGCAGGTCAAGGGGAGCCCATGCCCAGGCATGACTCCAGACCCAATGACTGAGAGCTCCCTCAGGCCTCCCTGCAAGGCTAGTACCCAAAAGCCCAGTAAGGCACTAGCCTGGGTGTAAAATTTAAGCTTAGTAATGGAGATAATATTTCAATGCAGTTTTTAAAAATTAAAAAAGTACCCAAAAATGTACAGTGAATAAATATATCCATATTTTAAATAGGATCAGTAACTGTGCCAAAGCTGGCCTGAGGCAAACTGAAAAGCCAGTATGGGCCCTGTCTGTATTTGAAATTTGGACATTTGTTCATCAGCTTTTTTGTATTCATTTTGATTTTAAAAATACTACATTAGATATTACTTATCTTGGTTGCTGAGGGTTTTTTTGATGCCTTTGAATGTGGTAGCCCAGGCCAGTGCCTCACTGGCGTCACCATAGTCCTGGCCCTGGAGGAAGAGTCCCAAGGGGTGACTATGGACAGGCCACCCTCTCTGGCTTTTCAGGGGAGTGAAGATGTGACCTATTTTGGTGAAGGCCAAGCTGTCTGCACACAAGGGCATAGGAATGGGGGTGGCCTTCCTCTGTCAGATGGGCGGCTTCCCCACGTGCCATTACCATGACAGGGGCCAGCTGTGAGTCTGGCCAGGGCTGGATGGCCCTAGGCCCATCCTCTGCTGTCCTAGAATTCTCTGGCTCACTGCTTCTCTCCCTGCGGGTTATCAGCTCTCTGGTCAAGGTTTCTTCTCAGTCCCCAGTGCACATGTAGCCTATCCTGCCCACCTCTTTCAGGCTGCAATCACAGCTCACTGCCCATGGTTCTGTGCTCCCTTCCAAGGGTTTCTGTGCCAGTGTTGAGCCTGGGTGACTCCAGGGTGCTAGTGCTACAGCTTCTGTCAGCTCTAGAGGGTGCTACTGGAACCTAAGACTAGGGGAGGCGTGTCTCAGGCATTCTCACAGAGCGAGACCCTGGAATTGGTGCTGAATCCTACTTTGAGAACCGCAGGAGCTGGGGATAAATCAGATGGGGGCCCAGTCGTCATGTGCATCCCGGGCATGTGACAGCCGCCATGACTACTCTGAGAGCCCCTTAGAAGAGAGGATGGAGTGCTCAACTGGTGTGGCACATTTTCTTAGAATGCAAGACCTCAGAGTGAGGCTCAGCCAGCAGGGCCCCACCATTGGGCAGAAGAGAAAACCGAGGCCTCAAATGTCACCGTGCCAGCAGGGCCAGGCCTGGGACTACACATCTGGGCTTCAAGCCAGTGGGTTTTCCAGGGCTCCTCTGTGGTCTGTGAGTTTTCAAGGAAGCCAGTTGGTTTAGAGGAGGATGGGACAGGGCAAGGCCATGTCTGGAGTGGGCTGCTTGGTGCTCAGCAGGGACTTGGGTAACTGCCCTTGAAGCCCCACAGTTCATTTTGGGTCAAAGAGGTTTCTCCAGCTGGGTGTGGTGAACACCTATAATCCCATATTTGGAAGGCTAAGGCAGGAGGATGGAGAGTTCAAGGCCACCTTAGGCTACATAGAAAGTTCAAGGCCAGCCTGGGCTACCTAGCAATACTGTCTCAAAGCAAACAAACAAATATATTTCTCCCCTGACATCAATACCTTAGTGAGCAGCTGAGTGAACTGACATGCATCCAATCCAGGACCTGCCCTGGGGATGCAAGGCAAGGGGGGCATCCCAGTGCTCTGATTAGGTGAGAGTCAGGGACAGGGGCTATTGGGAGCCCAGAGGAGGGGTCTCCCCAGTCAGGGGCTGGGGCTTGGGGAAGACTTCTTAGAGGAGGTGTCCTAGCATTGCTGCAAGAGATGGGTGCAGCACCCTCCAGGTGTTTGCTCCCCTAATTATGGAGAGGAAATGGGGTGTGGGATAGAAGTGGGGGGTAAAGGGTAGTTTGGGGCTCACAGAGAGGCCAGAGAGGGAGCATTAGTCTCCCCCATCATTGGTTCCTCCCTCCCCACCCTACTAGACTGGGACCATGGAAAATCCGAGCCCAGAGAAGTCCAAGCCTTGTATTTGAGATCAGCCCCCCAGGCCTGGTGTGGGAGCTCAGGGCAGATTCTCCGAGACTGACTTCATTCCTCCTGGCCACTCACCCAGGGGTCTGAGGCCCGGCGCTGGCAGCCTGCGTGTGTGTGTGTGTGTGTGGGCGTGGATATGTCCTCACAACACCAAACACATGTGAGCACCGCCCACGTCCCTTCGTGTGTGGGTAGCTTCCAAGTGCCTGTCCTGAACCTAGTCTCTGCCTCGGATGCCTGCCCACCTCTTCCTTCCCACCCTGGGAGCTGGGGCTGCCGGGGACTTCCTGTGATATTGTGTAACTGGAAAGAGTGAGAGGGAAGAAACAGAGTCCCAGAGAGGCATCCTGCACCCAGCTCTCAGAGAACAAGCTTGCAGAGAGGTCTTGGGGTGTCCAGCTGCTTCCCAGGTCCCCATGTCCCTTGCACTGTGCCAGTTGCCATGTGACCTCTCTGGAGACTGTTGCTAGGTTCTCTTTTCCCAGCATCTTTGCCCCAGCTCCTACTTCCCACAGCCTCAGTTTCTCTGAGCTGGGGGAGGGGGTGGTCTGGCTCTCAGTGCTGAGATGACCCCAACCCTCAAAGATCACAGCTCTCCCAGGCCCTCTTCCTTCCACCACAGCCTAACTCACCAGCTCTGGCAACTGTGAGAAAGGAACGTGGAGGCCTTGCCTGGCATGTAACCTCTGTCCCTTTCTCAATGGTCATTCAGAAGCCAGGAGACAGCTGCCTCTACCCTGTTCCCAACCTCTCCTTCTCCATCCTATTAGTGGGCAAATAATAAGCCTTTTCAGTGCTTGAGCAGTTTACTCCACTGCTCAAGAGCTGCTGTGGTTCCCTGGGGTCTTGAGAACAAGATCTCAACCTCAGTCTAGCACCCTAAAACCTGAGGCATCTCCTTTCTTTTCTTTCCTTTTCCCTCTCTCAGGCCTCCACTGCCCCCATAGGGACTCTGCTGCTCCCGGGTCTACAGGTTATATCCCCCTAACAACACCTGAGAGCAGCCCTGGCTTCCTGCCACACTCCCACTGCCTAGGTCCCTAGCTCACCTGGGCCTGCGTCCTAAGGCAGAGACATAACAACCCGGTCTTTCTCTGCTGAGCACCAAGTCAGAAGTAGTGGCCTAAGTTTACTTGTTCTCATATGCTCCTGCTGACTCAGAGATTGCTGTCCTGGTGCAGGTGAGAAAACTGAGGCCCAAGGGGGTGGCACGGGGGAGGCAGCTGGGCTGCCATCCCTAGAGCTCATGCTCCCTGCATTATGCTAGGAGGTCAGTGTACTCCCCCTGCCTCCCTGTGCCTCAGCCCCTGCTCTCCATCCAATGGCTTAGGACTTCCCATCTTGTCTCCTTTCATTCCTGGGGGCCCAGCCAGGTCCTGTTATTTGCCTCATTCCATAGACAAGATGGCAGGCTCGCTTGCTGAGGATTTGAGTCCACATGGCTCCCCAGCCAGTGTTTCTTAACCTTGCATTAGTTTAAAAAAAAAATTCCTTTGTATTATCACTTATCATGCACACTTACTTCCTCATTTGTTGGCCACACATTTTGACTGCTCTGTTTCAAGTCCTGGGACACTGGCTATGACAGACTGTGAAAAAAAGCATTCCTCCCCAGGTGGTGGTGGAGTGCAACCTTGTCACTGTCATTGTCACTCTAGGTTCCAAAACATGTATTTACCAAACTGTTGCTGAGTGCTAACCAAGTTCCTAACAGCATTCTTGGAGTTTACAGTCAGTCACTTCCTCCTAGAATAGTCCGACAAGGCAGGTGCCACAGTTAGCCCCATTTTGCAGGCGAGGAAAATGACTTGCCAGGTCATAGCTCAGCCTCCCTGGCCCCTTCCCTGAGGTTGCCCCGTTGCTCCTTCAGAACAACACGGAGTTTTCAGACTGAAAAAGTTGTATAGGTCTGGGCACCTGTGGCTCCCGCCTGTAATCTTAGCTCCACAGGAGGCAGAGATCAGGAGGATCGAGGTTCAAAGCCAGCCCGGGGAAATGGTTCACAAGATCCTATCCCAGAAAACTCATCACAAAAAAAAGGGCTGGAAGAGTGACTCAAGCAGTAGAGCACCTGCCTAGGAAGTGTGAGGCTCTGAGTTCAAACCCAATGCCACCAAAAAAAAAAAAAAAAGAAGAATGTCACAAGGTGTCCCCTTCCCCGTGGGAAGGGTGTCCACAGTAGTCTTAATAGTGGCTGCTGCTGCTTATTGAGCAGAGACTGGGCCAAGCATTTTCCTTTGTTTTCTCATTACTTCCCCCCAAAACCTTGTGGGTTAGTGTTATCACCCAATTTATAAGTGAGGAAACTGAGGCACAAGAGAAGCCAAGGAACTCACCCATAGTCCCAGGGTTGCGAGTGAACAAGCTTGGATCTAGGGGGACTGCTCACCCCCACCCTCAGGAATATTCTGTTACCTGTCTTAGCAATCAGGGACTCTGTCATATCTAGCTCTCATGAGAAAACGACATCTGGGGCTTGGAAATGTAGCTCTGTGGTAGAGCACTAGCCTAGCATGTGCCAAGGCCCTGGCTTCAATCCCAGCACCTCTCTCCACCCCCCCACCAAGTCACTGGGGATGGTGACAGGGCAGG